AATGTATTAATTCCATAATATTGAGAAAATATTGGAAAGAGCAATAAACAGTAAAATAAACAAAAATATATCAATATGACGTTACGCTACAACAGACCGAATCGAAAATTAAATGATATGAGCATGCGCCAAAAATAATCCTAGAAAACTGTGCTAGAACGGTTCATGCTCGAGAGCAGGTACTGGTTTCGGATACTTGTAGGACCGTCCCAGGACGATTCTGAAAAAACCCGAACGCGTAAAGAGACAGTCCTAGAACAGTTCCACAAAACCCGAACGCGGCCGATTCTACTGCGCAAACTCCTAACAGTTCTAGAACAGTAATAGTTCGAACCCGAATGAACCTATATGTTCATTAGTAGGAGAGGACAGCAGTTGGAATTGCATTCGGATAATGGGACTAATTATGTTGGGCAGAGAATGAAATGCGAAATAGTCTGAAGAAAATGAACCAAAGTAAAAAGTTATCTAGTTTATCAAAATACAAAATGAAATAGATCTCCGATGCACCACGGGCTCCAAAAATGGAAAACCATAGATGTTTGGAAAAGGTTGCTTTGTTCAATGAAAAAGTAGTTGTAGGTTTGAAATATTGTACTTACTACTTACTAAGGTCGTGGGTTCGATTCCCAGCAGGAGCAAGGAACTTTTTTCAATATTTTAATCACGAATTGAATATTGTAAAGTTTCGGAGCATCGGCTGGGGATAGTCCTGCACGATTCGCTGTTGCATTCCAATTAACAGTGCTACTCCTAAAGTGGCACATGGAGTTAGTAACAAAGCCTACACAGAACACGCAGAAAGAGATGATGATGTGGTTGTGAGCATCAGAGAAGAAGTAGGACGGTGTATGTAGGTGGGTGTGGAAAACTACCAGTTGAGCGTGAGAGCGGGCCAGCTGCTTAGTGGATCCCAGTCTCTAACGGGGGTTAACGAGGATAGCTAGCAGGCCTGCCACTGCGCATATGGTAGTGAGTTCATCACTAGCCTACAAAACAGAGCCGAAAAACTCTGAAAGAGAGCTGATGGGCGGTGCCTGAAAAGGATGTTAGCCCAGCTCTCTTGAGCGAACCACATCAGTCATTGAAAACACTTGGGTTTTGCAAAAAGGTCCCATTAGGGACTAGTTGCTGACGTGCAAACGTCCCCCACCAGAACCAGTACCAGTACCTGTTCGAAGAACATCGTGCGAACATTATGGTAATTCCCTTCCGTGCGCTGGCAGGACTTTTAGTGCGTCTGGAATTTTGTACAGATCATGAGCTTCCAGTGCATATTTTATTCGACCTATACCTCCACCAATTAGCAAGATATGACGAGTTAAAGAAGGATATTCCAGTCGAGAAAATGATCTCTGTGGGAGACCACGTTTCGGTGCTCGCCACCACTTTCGTTGGGAAAAATGACAATTCGTGGAGTCATTCTCAATTCGGTGACCAGTGGCAGTCCGCCAGGTGTTATGGTATCGTTAGAAATATAATAAAATTTAGTAATACCGTCATAGTGAAGTGGGTCATTGAGATGGGAATACAACTAAAATTGACCCAAATCTATGACAGATAGAAAGATCTCCTTACCAGAAAGGTGAGTTTTTTATTTTTATCCATTCAAAAATGAAAATTCAAAACTCTCTCCTTGAACCGTATTACTCCTTTTTTACACTTTATATACTTATAAAATGTACCCTGGAAATATCCCAATATCTCCAGTTGGGGATCGTTATAAAATTCATTGGGATCTCAATCGCTTGAAAAAAAAAACAGCAATCCAAAATGATATTTGTTTCAGATAGAACGCTATATACAGTGAAAAGTGCATCTGCGAAATAGCACACAATTGTCTCCTGAGCTGATTTTTATCAGATCACAGAGTGAGAATGTAGGTGGAGAGGAAGAAAATGCCGTCAGACCATAGAACCAAAATGAAGCGGTTCCTAGACCTCTGCCAGGTGAGCACACTCTAATTCCATTGAGTAGAGGCAAAAACCGCCATAGAGTGCAAAGGAAATGCATCATATGCAGCCGAGTCAAGAAAAGACAGCAGAAAGCTAGTAATAGATGCAGCAGTTGTGGCTAGAGATCAGTGATGTGTTCACCAGCTACAGGAAGGAAACTGCTTCGCCTACCATATCCAGAATGGAATTCCAGACTATAAAACAGACCGGCTAAATACTTTATTTTTAGTTACATGTCCGTTCTCATGTTTTATATAATTTGAATGAATATTCATTATTAAATTTTTTAGTACTGGGTCCCGCATTTCAAAATAAATATCTAGTATATCATAATGTCATAGATTGAAGCGATATATCAAACATCTACCTGACTTGTCAAATTTAATAATTTCACAATGTATTTTTAGGATATTACTGATCATTATCAAGGAATGAATCAAAATAATGCAATTATTTCATACCTCAGATCAAGTTTTATACTGATATAATCATAGATGATATCACTAATCCAAGTAACAATAAAATTTATATTTTGCTATGATGAACAGAAACAGAAATCAACGAAACCCTGTATCACTTCCGAATATATTTCTTTCTGCAGACGTTTATCCCATTGTCTGTGCCACCACTGAGTTTCATATAAAAATAAATGTATCCTCAGGCTTTCAAATCGTTCAAACGCTCTAGCTCACTTGTTGCGACTGATTTTTCAATACGACCTGCTAGAAGGACACTTTGAACTTCTGGAAGGATGAAAATATAATTGTTTGACATGCTTCTTCATGGATGTATAGGTTTGATGTATCGGTAACAAATTGTTTATATTATATCTACCTAATATATTCAATTTCTCAAAAACATTGATATTTGCTAATACACTCAGTTCCAAAAGAAGTGACGCACTTGATATTTGACCTATCTTCCTAAAATAAAAAAAACAAAAAATAGTAGGCTGATGTATATTTTTTTTTATTTGTTGGTAGGTAATGCATTTGTCTTGAAAAAAAAACAAAGAGGTGAAAATTTTTTCAAAGCCTCCTTGATGGTGGTGAAATAACTCGAACCATGATTTATTCTTAATTTTTTACTCACCCTGTGTGTTAATTGAGTAATGGTATACAAAATGCTTGCACCCTATACGAAAGAGGCTTCTTTTGCGAGCATTTTGTTGTTTTATTCATTGATTCATCTCTTAAATTTGCCGAATTATTACAGCTTTTTTGCTGATACCGTACGCTTATCTCACAAATTGAATTCATTGAAGGATGATTGTGTTGTAGTCTGGTAGGATCACATTGTCTTTAAAAAAAGAAACGCTGTTGCCATAGCAACTAATTTGTTGTATGCCTCCATATTTGACCATTTGTCGTTGTGTCATTAATTGTCTTGTTTTATTGACTAAAATTACATAAAATGCCTCGAATGAATCCTGAACAAGTAGCAAGATTAGTTGCGTTAGTGAAAGATGGGCGTAGTAAACGTTACGCCGCTCGTGCAGTGGGAGTTCATGAAGCAACTGCTCGTAGAGCAATCCGCAAGTACGAACAAACAGGAAACACCGCTCGGAGGGTCGGTTCTGGTCGCCCCCGAAAAACTTCTCCAAGAGATGATCGCTTCTTGAGATTGCGGGTTTTACGGAATCGATCACTCCGGTAAATGTTCAGCAAGATCTTCGCCAAATTCGTGATGTTGCAGTAAGTAAGCAGATGGTATGTAGACGTCTGAAAGAAGTTAATTTGAAAGCTAGGAGACCTGCAAAAGGTCCCAAATTATTGCCCGAACATCGTGCTGCTGGAAGAAATTTTTTTGAAAATTATGGACAGTGGAATATTCCTGAATGGTCGAATGTCTTGTTTACGGATGAGTCAAGGTTTTGCCTCAATATGGTGGATGGAAGAAAGAGAGTGTGGAGAAGAACTGGTGAACGGTTTAATCAAAATTCAATAACAGAATGGGAAAGTTTTAATGGTGGGTCCGTTATGGTGTGGGGAGGGATTTCAATTAATGAATGGAAAGACACCCCTTCATGTTTTTCCGGTGAGGCAGTCGATGAATGCCCAAATTTACATTGACATTTTAGAGCAGTATGTCGTACCTCATGCAGAGTTAGTGGGCAATAATTTTATATTGATGCAGGATAATGCCTGACCACACACCGCAGCAATAGTGCGAAACTTCTTAGACGCTACTGGTGTCACCACATTACAATGGCCTGCGAGAATCCTCGATATGCATCCTATAGAACATTCGTGGGAATTAGGGAGAAGGGTTCGTTCTCGCGAGAGGTCTCCAGAAAGTCTCGCAGAAATGACAGATGCATTAGTGGAAGAATGGGATCGTATACCAATGGAAACGATAATCAACTTAATTTCCAGTATGCCTCGTAGATAAGAAGTTTTTAGAGCTGCTAGAGGAGGCAATACACGGTATTAAGCAGTCATCCCAATTTATAATTTTGTGTTCAATAAAAATGTTCTTTAAAATTATTGGTATCAGTTTATTTCATTAGAAAATTGTTTCTTGATAAATTCAGGAAGTTGGTAATCTGCAAGGATTCAGCAAAAAAACCTGTAATTCGGAAAAATTTTGAGATAAATCAATGAATAAAAAAAAACAAAATGCTCGCAAAAGAAGCCTCTTCCGTATAGGGTGTAAGCACTCTCTATGCCATTACTCAATTAACACACAGGGTGAGTCAAAAATTAAGAATAAATCATGGTTCGAGTTATTCCACTACCATCAAGGAGGCTTTGAAAACATTTTCACCTCTTTATTTTTCTTAAGACAAATGCATTACCTACCAACAAATAAAAATCGGCCAACTATTTTTTGTTAAGAAGATAGGTCAAATATCAAGTGCGTCACTTTTTTTGGAACTGAGTGTATGATGAGTTATAAAAATACTTCAGCGTAACGGACACGTTTGACAAATTTCTCTTCTCCTATCGTTATATATTAACTATTTCGATATTCATAATATTATTGAAACAAACTAAAAAATCTTTGATACTCTTGCAAATGTATTATTATATTTCTTGGAAAACATCGTCATCCACTCTGTATCGATATCAGCCATCTCATTCTAAGAACGGGTTCTTACTTAGAATGATAATGGCGGTTAATGTTTCTTGATCCGCGACTGCTTACATAAATGTTGAGTGCCAGACATCTGTTAGCCAGTGCTGAATAAGTTCTCAAAAGATATTTTTGACTTTTATTTTGTTATTATTTATTGTTCGGTTACCAATATGACCACTTATGCTAGAATCGCTGTTGTTGTTCTCTTGGCATGTTTTACTTCAGGTGAGTACTACCCTTGGGTTAGGTATTTCTCATTTAGGTACGAATAAAAGTAACTGTGAATAATGTGAAGGAACTCATTTATATAAAACAGTTATGTCGTAGTAGGTAGGTATGCTAATTATCAATCACTGATGATTTGTTGGAAGATAATTTATTATATTTTCCCAAATGTTAAGAGTCAGTAATTAGTTATACTTGAGAACCAATTGATATTCCTCGAATTAATCATTAGGTAGATATAGTATCTACAGAGATGTATCTATTTATGTTTTTTCCACTATCGCATTAACTGGAAGTTCGGGAAGAGAAAGTTGTCATTTTGATGAAAATATTTTCCTTCAAAAATCGGGCATACATGTGCATACAACTTCCAAAAAAAATCGAAAACTGTTTTGACCTTAGAGATAATAAGAGTGTCAAGAATACTTTATTTAGGTCAGAAGATGCAAATTCGAAATAATCATGTTTGGATATAAACACAATAACATTTTATTTGAGAAAAATAAAAATTAGAATTCACTTCTGGTTCCCGGTTTGAACAAAACATTAAAATTTTAATAGCAAGCTGAATATTTTTCTCGGGATTTTTCTCATATATGTATACCTACATATCAGAAATTATGAAAAAACAATTCATATCTAGTCAATAGGGGATTTTGAGTAAAATTTGAAAGATGCAAAACATAATAGGGTGCCATTGAAAATAAAAAGAGTTATGGTCATTCTCGCTCGATATACATTTTATTTATATTTTACTATGAAATAGGTATTTCATCGCAACAAATATACTTCATCACCCAGTATAGTTCTCAAAAATATTGGAATTCTTACACATGCACATGGGCGTGAGAAGAAAATGTGTCAACAGAAAGGGAGGTTGAATAGTAATTTTATGAAAAGATTCGCAGTGAAGATTCCCGAAAAATGTTTGGTTGCATCGTTCATAGTGATGTACCTAATCATAATAGTGACATCATTTGAACCCATGTGTTTATTGAAATTATACTCCTATATTTATTTATGGAAACGAGGGGAGAAAATCCCAGAAAGAAGAAAGTGTGTGTTTAATGCTTTCCGCTACGCGTCGGGCTTCACACGCGGGAGGAAATGAATACCTTTCCTTCATTTTATGTAAGCTTTCGATCATCCTAGGTCATCAAGTCAATTATTAAGTGTTCTTAAAATATTTTGTTTTATCACAAGTACATATTATTCTAGGCATTTATCTCGAAATCCATGCAGTTTTCTAGAAACATGTATAAGACCAAAGTAAAATAGATAATCTAAATTGAAAGCAGATGGGGCAGCACGTTAATAAAAAGTTCAAAATGGTTGAATTGGACACAACCCCTAAAAGTATATCACTCTGTAGGTGATCAAATACGCCTAATAGCCCCAAACATTTTGTTTTGAATGCTTGAAGAACATTTTGAAGAAATCTCAATTTTTGACTCCCTGTACATCGGAATCGAAGCTTTCCACGCACATTAAGTTTTCATCTTAAAAATATGAAATATTTGTTCTTCAAGCCTGCTACAAAAAAGTTACTCTCCTTGTATATATGAAGAGAATATAATACTGATACATTGGATTCCAGGCATGAATGGGTAACTATTGGTACCTATATAGTTCCTGAATGGACATCTATTGGTAGTTCCTAAAAGGATATCCATTGGATACTTATGAATGACTATAGGTACTTGAATATGTCAATGAATGGGTATCCATGACGCCAACCGTTTCTTCATCTTTTCCATGTCCATATAATATATACTAATCTGTATTGTCGCAGTAGTTAATACCCTCTAATACCCTAACGTAATCATTCGGCATCGGTAATTGATCTCTCCTAATTTTTTCAATACCAATTTCGACATGTCATTTGCATTTTTCCTATACTTGAAAGGTCGTTTTCTCCGCATACAAACACATGTATCAAAAATAAAAATGATTCAACATCCTTTAATACGAATATCAACAAGGTCATCCACCCAAGAACCAAGACGTGTTTACTGTTTAGTCATCATCAAGTCACCTTGTTATTTGTTTTTTCTGGGTACTTCACATCCACATAGGTACCTATCCAGTGGCGGATCTAGGGTGGTTTCAAAAGGAGCTTCTATAAATTATTTGAAAACACATTGTTCAAGGTCTAATAACCGAGAGTGCAAGTTGAAAATAGGTACTGTGAATAATAAAATTTGATCGAATATGCAGAGAACCAGAGAGGAAGGAGAAGGAAATAGTAGATTGTTTTATCAGGATCAAAAGTGACACTTCGTTTGACAAGCGAATTTTGCATTTGCGAGACGGAGCGCCTAACGAAGTCGAGCGAAAGCAAAATCCTTCCCGACCTCAGAGATCGCCCGTGAATTATTTTTTTCAACACTAGCTCTGGAACCTACCATTTAGTAGAGCAGTTGGAGGAATAGGGGTGGAAATAATTTCCACAAAAACGCAGTTTTCATTTTCTGAAGCCTCATCCGACCCCTTACACTATATTAAAAATATAGCTGCATTCTTTCATGTAAAAATGTTTTAATGCAACTTTTCATATTTCAGGTGCCCAAACCGAAATGATTGTTTCACAACTCAACACATGTTCCGCTACCTATATTAGGATCTTCAGGATAAGATTCAAACGAATTTCATAATCTTCCTAAAAATGATAATATGGTTAGCAGATCTCGAAATTCGTGTCAAGGTGTGAAACAATCATTTTGGTATGTGATTGAAACTATTCTCTGTGATCGTGAATGTAAGGTTCCATTATTTGATATATCATTCCAGGTATATCCATAGAAATCATATTATATATACGTGTCAGTATATATAATATGATTTCTATGGGTATATCTGAATATAGTGAATTAAAAGCAGCGATGGAAGATAACGAATGTTTGTTGTTTTCGTTAAGTTCTGATGATAGTTCGAATTGTGTTGAATTGACTGCTAAAGGTGTCCAAGGAATAATAAGTGCTAGCAAGTAGGAGCAAGACAAAATAATTGAACTCTTGGAACCAGTGCCTATTCATCTTCTAATTGTTCACGTCGAATGTCGTCGTTTGTACGTAAATCCGAACAAGATGAAGAATGTTCTCAGGTTTTCAAATCAGATCCTGATAGAAAAACATCAACTAGCAGCAGCAGCAGCAGCAGCAGCAATAGAGCTTTGTGATCTGAGCTGCCGACATTCGCGTTCAAAGATAATTGCTTGTTTTGTGGCCAATTCATCAAGGAAACTGAGAAAATAATTAAATCTGCAATTTTACCAGTACCAACTTTCGCGTTTCGACAAACTATTATTGATGTGTGTGATGCAAGAGACGATTTTTGATCATCAAATGTCCTTGCACGTCTTCTTTCCGTTATCGATACTTGCCAGCAGCAGATGCTCTGTATAATCAGAAATGTAGTGTGAATTTTGGAAAAGACTACTCTATTCCTAAGAAACATCAGCATGATATTCCCAATAAACAGACAAAGTTGGCAGGACGTCCTTCTGATAAAAATAAAGAAGATGCCTTTTTATAAATATGCAGGTGGCTCAAGAAAAATGATGATGAAAAAATGATTCAGGAGTTGCTGGACAAAATGGCAGAGCTGCTGCCAGAAAATATCGAACCTTACACTGTTCGTCGTACGCATAAAAAATATTTCTCGGTTGACATTATGATATTGAGAAAAAAGGTAGGGCTAATATGATTGTAACAGTGAAAACAGTTGCCAATATAATATGTGATTATCAGCGACAAAAGTGTTCAGAAGATCCTAATGCTGAAAAATTTCGGATAGTTGAAGCAACAGCTAAACTGATTAAGAATTCAATCAAGTTGATGAGAACATCCTTAGAGTTTTATCCTTCACCAGAAGAATTAAGTTCCGAGCAGGAAAATAATAAGCTTTTACCCGACATTTTGAAAACATTCTTGGATATAATAATCAACAAAAAATCCTCAAGTTTGAAGAAAAATTCAATTGAACAGGCACTAATGCAAGCTGCAAGGCCACGATCTATCATAAGTTCAATTCATCTAGGTGTTGGTGTGCAGTGTCATCGAGATTTCCAATCTCAGTTACTTGTCGATGAACTTCATAAGCTTGGGTTTTCTGTATCATATGATGACGTACGGAAGTACTTGCAAAACTGAAGTAGATGAACCTTGTGGGACCAGAGTTCGACGATACGGAATTTCTTGCACAGTATTGTACAATAATTGTTCGAGAAGGTACCAATATTCCAATCGAGGAAGTTGAAGATAATGAATGAACTTCTGTTACATGCCAAATATGCCATTTTTATTAGGTTTATGATTTAAACGTATTAACGAATAAACGAATATTGGAAACACTGTATTTTCATTTTGCACAAAGGTATCATTCTATATTTTCTCATATGTGTTATTCTATGCATTCTGAACTGAGAAAAGCAAAAAAAAATTTTGTGGGAATTATTTCCACCTGAGACCATTGTCAATGGTTAAAGTGTGTTTTTTACTACCAAGATAGTTATCCTCATTTTATGAACCACTAGTCAATGAAGACATAGCCACCTCTGATATAATTAACCCGAATTCACTGTTCTTATTCAAGATTCGCAGGAATGGCACTCTAATCTGGTAGGTATTTATCGATAACGACTTGTCATACGCTCTCATGGTCATGGCATCGGTCATGGCTACAAGATTTTAATTAGATTTGAAGAGAAGTGCTTTCAAAGTGACATTAGGTCCATATTTCAGTTTCACAATACTATAGTGTGTGTATATTGATGGTTCTGGCACTTGTGATATATAACTTCCCTGGGGATATATCCACTTCTTCTGTACTAAATGATCCAAAAATTGAAGAGAGTCCTGAGAAAAAGAGACGAACTTTAGCAATAATTTCATACAGTGTGATAAATCATTACCAAATTTAGTACTAAATTACAATTCGATATTGAATACAGTGATTACATAATCGACTTACCAAAATCACTTCATTGCAGAATAGGTATA